CTCGTCGCGCGCGCNTGCAGCGCGAGGGGCCCGTACTTGCGCGCGTCGCCGGCGCCGTGGAAGAGCGCGTCGACGTCGTCGGACGAGCCGTCGGAGAAGGCCCGGGCCGCGTCGCGCGCGTCCGCGTCGATGAACTCCAAGGCCAGCGCGAGCTTCTCCGTTCGCCGCCGCGTGAGGTCGTCGTAGACCGCGCGCTGCACGTCCTGCGCGACGGCGTCGTCGTGCTGCTCGCCGAACAGGAGGAGCTTCCGGTCCGGGTCCGCCATGTCGTCGACCATGGCCGACAGCGTCACGCGCGTGAGCGGCTCGCCGGCGATTTGCCGCTCCAGTACGATGACGTCGCGCTCGAGGTCGACGACGGGCGTGACGCGGCGCCGCGGCGGCGGCGTCGACAGGCGCCGCTTCGGGGCGCCCTCGCAGAGCGCGACGCCCGCGGCGCTCACGGACACGGACACGGAGCGGACGGCGCGGGCCCACATCGTAATATATCCTTGCTTCTTCTTTTGTCGTTTAGGCGCGCGTTTCGGCGGGTTTCGGAGTTTTGAGTTGGCGAGGGTGTCGCGGCAGGGGTGTGAGTTGCTCCTGTGGACTGTGTGTGCTTGTGGCTCGGTGTTTCGCGCGCAACGGGCGCCGAAGGGCGTGCACGCGTCGGCGCAGCAGGTCGAGCTCAGATTTTGCGGCACCATCTCGGCATCACCGCGGCAGCGTTGCCGCAACGCTGGCCCAGCGAGCCACTCTCCATCGTCGTCGTCATAGCTGCACGCGCGCTGCCCGTCGCTGCAGCGCACGCACCGATGCTCCCGCGCGCCGCTGTCGCGAGCAGCGCGGCGCTGCTCGCGGCTTTGTTGGAAAAAAAAACACACTGCGAGCGCTTGCCGCCGGACTACCCGGCCAGCGAGCTCACGAACGACTCCCTGGGCGCGCGCTGGCCGCGCGACGAGGCGGGCATGGTCGGCATCCCGAAGAGAGCCTGGCCGCCGATACAACCCGAGCTCGAGGAGGTGCCCGGGCTGCGGCGCGCGCTCGAGGCCTGCGAAGCCGGCGGCGGCGCGTGCCTCAGCGAGCGGTTTTTGGTCGCGACGGGCCTCAGCAGCTACAAGGAGCACCAGGCCGAAGCCGCGAACT